GCCGTAACAGGGATTGGTCATGAACCTGCGTGCCACTGTCATCCAATAGAAACGTGATTTTATTGCGGGCCCGACGAACTTTAATATGGCGGTGATAGAACGCCGTGTTCTTGTCTCCAAACAGCGTCCAGTCACGTTGTGATTTTTGCAACAGAAGGAGCTCTTCGTACAAGAGAACTTCGTCTAGCTCCTTCTTCAAATTCGTCTCCAATAGTGCAAGGCTGGGCTTGAAATAAAAGCGAAAAGATTTCTGAATCCCCCCAATACGGGCCAAAAGACGTTTCTTGCGCTGGAATATGTTCCCAAATGTATGAAAATTCCAGTCCCGAACCTCGTCTTCAAATTTGGTTGTTGTACCCAAGTAGTCGGCATCCGCTGTCCACACCTTTTCCACAACACGAGGAAAGTCCTCGTGTAACAGCCAAGCGGCCAAGAAACGACACGGTTTAGTCCCACCAACATGAGAAGGGGCGGTATTCGACTGTAACAGGATGGGGGAGTGGTCCGAGTGAATACGGGGGAGATAAATGGCTCGGCCCTCGGGGAAACCGTCCAACCAATCCAGATTAACAATAACGCGATCGAGTTTCTCAGCAATCGAGCCTCTACACCATGTGAAATAGGCATCCCCCTCATTAAGTTCGTACAGGCTATTTTTAAAGATCCACCGCTGAAAGTCGGAGCTGATGTTACATCGTAAATGTGATCCTCCCCGTTTCTCGGAAGGCCGGAGGAGGCAGTTGAAATCCCCTCCGATGACCCACGACCCTTGAGTCTGTCGCGCCAGGTTTTCTAGTGAAGGCCACAGTAAACGGCGACGTCTTGGGTTCGGCGAGGCGTAAACGAACGTGGCGGCGCATTCCTCTCTACCGACACGAATCCTGGCATGCACGAACTGGCTCCTAAACTGCAAAATCTCGAGGTCCACACCTTCCTTCCACAAGATCCATATCCCTCCCGAGAATCCAGTGGCTTCTACCCGAAAGGAATAGGAAAATGGGACCCGCTTGATGAACATGTCTGCTTTCTCCCCACTGATTCGGGGCTCAAAAAGTGCGACGACATCAGGTCGATTCTGGTGTACGAGAGTGAGGAACGCCCTCCTAAAATCCATTGAGGCCGCACCTTGCACATTCCACGTCAACAACTTCATTGATAACTCAATGGGAAAGAGGCGGGTTCTGTTAGATAGCGAGTGGGACCGTGGTGACACGGGTGTCGCCGTCTTCTGTCTCAGTCATGTCCGTGTCATACCCAGTCTCCTCGTTCGTTCCGTCCGGTGGTAGGGGTGGTCTCCAGACGACAGGGTTCTCATCGCGCATATCATCCAGACCGTCGAAATCTCCAGGATCGGGCGGTTGGTCTGAAGACATGGGGTGGTCCTCAGTCACCCGCACTGCTTGATGTTTTGTCGGGTCAAGTCCGGAGCCTACCAATATGTTCACATGTTGTGGCCCCTCCATATGCACCGTTGTATTCCCATCCACATGTCGTGGAGCCCCTTGTAATAACACCTCCCTGCTCGTGGAACGCTCGACAGTCGGACGACACGGTCCAGTAACAGTAGTCCCATGCTTTGTCCCGTTCGAAGTCGAAGATTGTCCCCGAGAAGTACTCGCAGAGTTCGAATGATTTTTCCCCCGTTTTGTTGCAAGTTTCCACTCGCGCTGACCCAAGCCCTGAGAGGGCGCTTTGTTCGGCTGGATATGATCTGCCCCAAAACTGAAACCTTCCGGCTGTGTGGTAATAATCTGCGCGCTCTCCTCACCCAATAAATCAAAACGGTTCGTTCCAGCAGGGCCTGCATTGCCGGCTGCTTTATCCCGAACGCCCTTCTGTCTGATCGACCCATTGCGTGCTCTCTGCGGAACTTGGAGCCATGGCCCGTAAGCCGATGTGGATGGGTCCCACGCCTGTTTCTTATTCGTCGCTTGGTGTGGTCCTTCATTATCACCAGGTGGCCCCGTAGTGGAACTACTTCGCTCCGCGTGGCTGGTCTTGGAGGACTCGTTGTGGGACAGGCAACTATTGACATCATGGCCATATCGTCCACACTTAAAGCAGATGAGGGGGAGATTTTCATATTCCACCCTTTGGAGACGTCCGTTGATCGTGAAATGCGCACAAAGCGGTTGTGAGATGTCCACCATTACGGCGAGTCAGGCATACTTCCCGCGAGTAAGAGAAGCCGTTTGGTAGTCTATTTTAACTACTTTGCCCAGGATTTGGCCTAATTGACGGAATACTCGTTTGTGGTAGAGGTGCACCGGCATTCCGGGAAGCCTGATCCACGCCACCACATGTGAAAGCTCAGACGTAGATGGGTCAAACTGTAGGGACCAAGGTTGGACATGCAAGTATCCGGAGCCAATGACATACGGGCCCCCCACTAGCGTACGGACCGCGTCATCATGAGTCGCAAAGTGGATGATAAAGAAACCATTATCAAGATCCATCATATTGCACCCCACCATATGTGGCCACATTTTAGTCAAACGATTATAAAGAACAGCATGTGAGAGAGACTTGTCCATTGGCTTAACGACTACTGCATTCTGCCAATCTTGGGCGACTGTCTCAATAAACCTGTCAGCAATTCGAACGTCTGGCGAGGGAGGAGTGAAGTCAACTGTTATATCCTCGTCGACCTCCTTTTCAGTTGTCGAGTCGTCATCGATAGAGACGTGCGGCCGGTGTTTAGAGATCATATCACGGAATGACATCCGTGGGGCAGCGGGTATCGGGGTTGTAACCCCCGGCAGAGGCGCAGTCGGAATCGGAACCCTAGTCTCTCCAGTGGGCGAAGTCTGAGCCATATTGTCCGATGGGCGGCGGCGCTTGGAGTAACGGCCGTTGAGCAGAGGAGGGATGGACTTATTGAGAGCAGGGAACGTTGCATCCTGAATGTCAGAAGGATCGGCACCGGGGTCCACCGTGGGTCCGATAGGCGGCGGCTGTAAAGGTAACGACATAGCCCTAAATTTCTTTTTCCTTTTTTCATGTCTCTTGAATATTAAGATAACACTATATTTCATATTAGAATTAATTGCATCAAATCCCTCGGTTTATCGGCGAAATTTACGTGTTTTTTTTTTTTTTTTTTTCATTTTGTTTGTCTTGTGCTTTTTTTCAACAAATTTAAATACTTGCATATTTACTGTTACCAGGGGCGTAGCCAGAGGGTGGCTCACCCAGGCTCCAGCCCAGTCTTAATTTTTTGATTTATTTAAATATGTAGTACTAGAAAAATATTTTTTAGCCCATGTATACCAAATTGGTTCTAGCAGCCCAGTATAGAAAATATTTCTAGCTACGCTACTGACTGTTACATTATAAAATATAAATTAAAGTACGATATGTCATAATGTAGACATGCATTTTTGGTAAGAAAATATGTTAGGAGTTTTTATAATGTGATTTATCTTTCGTTAAAAAATACATGCGCTCTTAATGTAAGTATTATTTGTTAGGATTTTTTATATTGAAGAAATTTTAAGATTTATATCCCTTGTCAAGAATATAATATAGCGGATTTGACGGGTCAAACCTCTCAATTAAGTCCAATCCGCTAATTTCTCTTCAACCTGCTATCTTCCAAACGGGGCCAATAATAATTTCACTTGCAGGATTAAAATTAAAATAAGTGGACATGTCAACGGTTTTTTGTTTTTGAGCCTGATGGGTCTCCTCTCAAATCTGGAGTGAACCGATGGAAAAACCGCCCAGATCTGAAATGAACCGATGGGAATGAGCTTAGATCTGACTCGATAGCCTCCGAACCGTTGTTGAAACCACGAGAAGACCTGCAAGAACTCAACGCCGGAGGGGTTTCCGGCGTAGAGCCTCCGACGCTCAAGTCAGTATGTGAAAGAGGTGAAGAGAGCTGCTCTGAGAGAGCAGCAGCAGTAATGGAGGAAAGTATAGAATGAATGGGAGTTAGGGTTTTTGGGTTACCTCAGCTCCTTTATACAGGAGCAAAACAGTTACCTGAAGTCCCCAAAATGCCCCGGCCGACTTACTGGAAATGTCCAAAATACCATGGTCGGTTCGCATTCCGTCCATCTCCTAGTCAGCATCTAGATTCCTTCTTATCCTTAATAGCTTCCTTCTTATCCTTGACAGTTTTCCTATGATATGTTGAAGTGTACCGGAATCATCGGGAATCTGTGAGCCTCGAGGCTTCCTCAGTCGACTTTGTATATCCATTCGAGTCGACTGGGTCATATTCAATCGTCGGTAGACCCTGACACGCTTGACCGTCTTTCCGGAGGGAGTCGACTTACGCTAGTTGACATCTGGAAGTCGACTGAGAGAGGCGCCTGGGCCCTTGACCGGAGATATTATGAGTCTATAGAAAGAGTCGACTTTGGATAAGTCGACTCGGTAGTGTCTGAACCGTGATAGTATGAACCGTTATACGATAGTATGGCTATATGAGAGTCCTTTTTGTGTTTCTCTTACCATTGGTCCTCGTGGGTTTCATCTCTAGCCTACTCCAATTTGTTTGGGACTAAAAGACTATATTGTTGTTGTTGACATGTCAACGTTGGTGTGAACTGTGTTAAAACATGAAAGAATTAATGTGATGCAATTTTGAAAATATAATAGAAAGATGTGTAAAGATAGTTTGTATCATAAAGAAAATTGGTGCAAATTTCATTAAATTTAAAGCTCCAAGACATGATCACAAGCCGAACTGGCCTGGAATTGATTTGTGGTCGTGGTTCGTTCGGACTAATTTTGAGCCACATATTTTTTATTTTGAACCGTTGGGTTCGAACGGGAATCGAAATCGGTGGTTCGACTATTATTTATTATTTTTTATTATTTTTTGTTTTTTTAATGAATTGAGTCGGCACGAAACCGCTGATTCATCGAACCAGCCCATATATATTTTTGAGCCACTTTAAAGCTATTAATTGTCTTCCAAACTAACAGCATGTTAATCACGATACGTGGAAAATTAGGCAGTCACCCAACTTGAAGATAAGCCAAATAACTTAATCCGACCCAACGATAAATAAAGATCGGCTCGGTGGGAAACTTGGGGACAAGCAAGGGACCCGAGCTCCTCGCCATTGAGACCAGCCCGTGACCATGAGGGAAAATGTTACTGCAGACAACAGCTCGGAGTAAACCTTATCATAGAGAAGACCCGACCTCTTCCTCCTGCGGTCGACCTACAACCATAAAGAAAAGGGGTCGACACCCAATGACGCAGTAAAGAGCTCGGTTATCCCACCTTAGAGGATCCAACCTCAATATTTTTGAAGGTCTATAGCATATTTAATGCGGACTTAACATATGTGAATCGTACTGACGAGAAGCAATCATAATGTGTGGGACCTACCATGTTGAGCCGCACGCTGCAATCAAATCACATTAAAGCTAGCATCGAGAATCACACTCGTGTGTCGCATAGTATAAATACCCCTCGTTTATTGTAAAAACGACATATTCGATCAACTCTCTTTAGAAGAATAACTCTGTACTAAGAAACCGAGCTGTTCACTATATGAAATTCTAGTTCATCGGATCTCATTCACAGTTAAACATATTTTTACTTAGAAAATTTTCACGAATCCGTTGTTTCAGATATCGCATAACAATCAGAGCCTTCAAAACTGGTGGCCCAGAACCGGCAATTCCGACTGGAAAAACCGCCTGTAGATTGGAGTTGGATTTATTTAAGCCTTTTATATATCCTTTTGGGGCGAGGCTAAGGTGCCGTAGTGGGATGGTTCCCTCATTTTAATATAAGCCCTTCGATCTTATAGATTGATCTAGACCCTTTGATTTGGACAAAGAACATATTTATATCATGGGTATAATTGCAGACAAGTTTTCTTTTTGTAAACAAAAGCAACAGGTCACCCGTCGTCATTCACCCTCTTCAAACTCAA